CAGTCAGCACTTTAAAAAGAGGAAAGTTTATGACGAGCTGGACTCGTCATTTCCGTTCAAGGGGTTAATATAAATCCCTGTCGTTCTCCAATGTTGACTCCTTAATGCTAGTAATTATTTAATTGATAAATATTTATTAAACAAAGGATATTCGAATCAAATTTATTTTTTTTTGGTATGTCAATCGAACGTGAGACCCAAGAATCCATAAGGTGGCAGGTTTACTCGGATATCTCGTCTGTGGTATTAGCCATTGGCGCAGTATCGACTTCAGTATTCGGCACACAAAGTCGAGAGACAGTAGCACGCGACACGATGTAAGAAAAGACGATGGAAAGGGGTTGCAGATGCCCCGTATGCGGATGCCCGGATTCCCCTCACGTCAAGACAATCAATAGTAACTGTTCCGAGAGAATGTATATTCACGTGCAACCGGAGAACCGTTCTAACGCGTCCGTTACGTCCCCCGTGCGATCGCACACCCCGGCTTCTGATGGGTACAAATAACGTCCACCGAAGAACCGTTCCCTGTTTATTCGATGCTGCGGCACGAAAATTCGTCGAACGTTATTCCGTGTACGTACCGACAAATCGCGTTGAACGTCTCATCGCTTCATGAATCCTCTCGACGATACTTGAAAAATTGAAAATCGTACGAACAGAAACATCACGTAGTAATGTATATATGTATAGATAAAAAATTGTGATCGGCCAAGGGATATGAAATAAAATATCATATGTAACTTTACGATCGGATCTCCGTTCATTGATCGTATCCTAAGCCGAGTTTCATCTTGTAAAACTGGAAATTGTTTTATGCACGATTTATGTTCATCGTTAAATCCAGGACACACAGCGACAGGAGCGATTATTAACGAAAACCGGCGGGCGGAAGTTATGCGGAAAATTGCAGTTACTCGATTACACACCAAGAAATTCCAGCGGAGGCGGAAAGTGCATCGCTCTCCCGAAGTATGCGCTGCATAGTTGCATAAGTATGCGCCCTGCTGCGCCGAACATATCTATCCCCGTGGCTCGAACGTATCAAAGTATTTGCCGGCGAGACCGAATAAAATTTTGATGCCCCACGCGATATCGGGGAACGCGTCAAGAATACAATTTTTAGAAAAGGATCAAACACGTACGAAATAAAAATGACTCGATATCAACATGCAAGGCTTTTAATGGTTAAAATGTAGCTACTGAAAATACAGACATAATTTGGTTCTCATTAAATAGTAAAGTGAAAATTATCAGTATTAAAAATAAATTGTAATAAACTCATTTCCTAAACGAATTACAAGATCCTCAATCAGCAGGCAAAAAAAGTGGGACGAATTCGTCGCCTCTATAGCCGGAGTGGAATATGTCCAACGCTACCTTTGAGAATCGACGCGTTCAACCCGGATTCAGCAGATAGCCCGGGTTTCGGTGGCTAGTTACGCGGTTTAAATCAAATACTCGGTGAATACTTGTATCCGAGGCACAGAGAATCATTTTCACAAAGTTCAGGCCGTGGAACACGATACGGGAACCTCGTACTCTCGTCGCCAACCTTTGAAATAGATTACTGGCAGCGATACCCATGTGTATGTTCCCCGGAATTCAAGTCGCGTGTTAACAGTGTGCGGCTGTGTTCAGTGAAATGAGAAATTACTTTGTTTATTAAGTTGAACTCATATTGAAACAGCTGTACCAGGTAAGCTTATACGAATCTAAAAATCCAATTACAGTATAAAGAGACAACACTTGAGTTTGTATGCTTGTTAAAATTTTCATTCCCGACTTATGACAAACGTAAAGTAGTACGTGACAATTTTATAAAATCTGATACAGGAAGAAAGAGAGTAATTAATTCTAAAAATCCTATTTAACGCACGGCGAGGTAATTTGCGCACGAAAATAATTATACGCTGAGATATTCGCGTTTCCGGGCGATGATCAAAATAATTTATGCCAGAACAGCGCTTGCCCCTCGCGTTAAGGATAACGGATCGCCTGTCGGGCAGGCTAATTTCACGGTTAAGTCAGTAGATTCGCGGGCGAGCGTACAATTGTCCTTTGTCCCGCGGATATTAGGCGCGTGACGGAACCGCGGCGCGTAATCTCAATTATTCGCCGGGAATGAGGGGACCGAGCACGAGGCACGAGCCGCGATTTCGCGTGGGACCGCGTGTACCTTCCCCGGGCTACAAAGTGAAAGTGGAATAATTCGGGTTTAAGTATACGGGTAAGAGGCAGGGCTTTCGCAAAACGCGCTCGTTAACTGCGGGGGAATCTTTTAAAGCGTATTCAGTTTGTTCATTTTCCTCGGAACGTCGCCCATCTTTCCTCCCCTATTTTGAACCTCTCGACGGAACGCGTTTCAACCCTCGCAATTTTATGCCGACGTGCTCCAAACCATTTTTCCATGTCAGGAAGTTACCCTCATATTAAGTGATACGTCATAAAAATTCTGATACACTGACTGTTGAATTCTCATTATAGTCAATATGGTTA